CCACCCTTGCCGCCCCCAGCCTGCAGCTCACGCAGAGGTGATGGCACGGTAGCGCTCCAGGCCCGCTGTGTCCCAGATCTGCGCCTTCACCGCGGCGGTGCCCAGCATGACCGTGCGGGTGGAGAACTCCACGCCGATGGTGGTGCGGCTGTCGTGGCTGAACTCGTTGCGCGTGAACCGGGAGAGCAGGTTGGTCTTCCCCACGCCCGACTCGCCGATCAGCACCACTGTGGGGTGGAGAGATGAACCGCTGAGCTGAGCTCAGACAGAAAGCCCCTGGCTCCCTGAGTTGGCAAGCTCTGTCCCCTTGAAAAGGGGGCCTGAGTTTGGAGCATGGGGCCAGGAGCCCTGTCCCCAGAAGGACCTAGACTTGGAAGCCAGGCAGGAGAGATGGTATAGGTGAGAGGGTGTTTGCCTTGCGCACAGCCAACCTGCGTTCGATCCCACCCTATCTGGTCCTCAAAGGCCCCCACATGGGGTGATCCCTGAGTAGAGACAGAGCCAGGAGGAAGACCTGAGCACTGCCAGATGTGTCTCCCCAACCAAAACAGCAGCAAAAAGAACAAAAGAGTTGGAAATGGGCCAAGGAGCATGGAGTTCTCGTGTCTCTGGGACACGAGGGCAGACTCAGCCCCTTCCTCTTTTTTATTTTTGCTTTTTGGGTCATACCCAGCAATGCACAGGAGTTACTCCTGGCTCTGCACTCAGGAATTACTGCTGGCGGTGCTCAGGGGACCATATGGGATGTTGGGAAGGCAAACGCCCTACCCGCTGTGCCATCACTCCAGACCCTCAGCCCCTTCCTCTTGTTGGAATAAGAGGTTTTGGTTTGGGGTGACACTCAGCTATGCTCAGGGATCCCTTCAGGTAGGGCTTGGGGGACACTCATGTGGTGCTAGGCCAGTGCCTTCCCCGTGTTTCTCTTGATCTGTGTCAATTCTGGACTAATTGTGTCATGGGCTTATGTGAGCATGGACACACAAGGATGGTAGGAAGTCAGAAGTACATACTTATGGGGATACACACTTATGGGGTACACACTTGTGGGTTTACAGACTTATGGAGATACACTTACAGGAGTACACACTTACGGCAATATACACTTATGGGGGTACACACTTATGGGGGTATACACTTATGGAATAGAGCCTGGGAACATGTTCAGAAGAGTTCTGAGGGTGTGTGGGAGGTTTGGGGCGCTGTTGGCCTGGGGAGCAAAAGTGTGACAGGGCATCTGGGAGGGAAGAATGCTTCCAGTCCCTCCCTGACACCATTCTCACCCTTCTAGTGACACAGCCTTAGGTCCTGTCAGGGGGCTCAGAGCCAGGCTTCGCGTTTGTTTTTGTTTTGGGGCCACATCTAGCAATGCTCAGGGTTGCTCCTGACTCTGCACTCAGGAGTCACTCCTGGCAGTGCTCCAGGGACTATTTGGAAGGCTGGGGATTCAACCTGAGCTGGCCACATGCAGGGGCCCTACCCTCGTACTATTACTCTGGCCTTTCAATGCTATACTTGGGAGTCAGCTGCGGGCCTAAGATTTTTGGGGTTTGTTTGTTTTTAGTTTAGTTTGGATTTTTTTTTCACCACACCTAGCAGTGTTTAGGGCTGACTCCTAATTCCGTGTTCAGGGATCATTCCTGGAGGGGCTCAGAGGACCCTTCGCAAAGCTGGGGACCAAATCAACTGGGGCCAGCTGTGTGCAAGGCCAGTGCCTTTCCCTCTGTCCTGTCACTTGGCCCTGAATAGTGACCTCTCCCCCTCTCCCCATCTCCTAGTCTCTCCACTCACACTGCTGTGGGTGGCTGTGACCACCCTCCAGGCTGGGCAGAGGTCCATGCAGGTGAACCCCACATGCCTCAAGGGCAGCACCCCTGCCCCCCCTCCTGCAGACAAGGAACCTGAGGCATGTGGGAGAAGGAGGGGACTCACTCTAGGTACCAGCTGTCGTGGTGGGATCCACCTGAAAGGGGCCACTCCCCTGGCACCCCAGCTTTAGGGTCTGCTCAGCTGCTTATCAGCTGGGGGAGTCCATGCCCAAGGCCAGGCCCACTGGATGGGAGTGCGGGGATCACAGAGTGCCCTGGTCTGGACTCCCTCCGCATAGTCTGTCCTGTCCTGTCCCCTGCCCTGCTGCAGACATCCCCAGTCTCTCACCCCAAGTTTCTCAGCACCTCCTGCAAGGCCAAGCAGGTGCTGGGGCTGAGTCCTGGCTCGGGGCCGCACCTCGTCAGAGGGAATTTATGGGGGTGGTCGTGGTGACTCGGTGCTAGTGGATGGATGTGCCACCGGCGCTGGGAGTGACTAGTGGCTCATGGCCACACCCTGTGACACTTACATTCGCCCCTCCTGGGAGAAGTACAGGTTGCCCCGGCCGGGCGAAGGGCGCGGTGGGTGCACAGACTCAGGCTCCTGAGTCGGCCCCACCCTGCAGGAGGCGTGGGGGCTTGTGGACACAAGAGCAGGGATCACAGGGGCTGAGATAAAGCCACAGGGACACTCCTGGGCAGCCAAGTTGAACCCAGTGCCTCGACCTGGGGTGCAGGAAAAGCCAAGGGGCAGACAGTGCAGGGAGCCCCAGGACTCCTCCAGAGTCCATTAGCCCCTGATCCGCATTTCCATGCCCCTGAATCTGGGATAGGAGGAACCAGCCTGAACACAAACTCAGAAATACACTCTCCTCCTCACCCCGTGGGTGGGGTGCCCCTGCAGACCTGGGGGCTTCAACTCTTGGGCTGACAACTCCCGCACTCCTGAGCAGCTCACGGGCATTCCACAGGCAGCCCCAGGCCTGGCTCTCCACCCCTCAACCCCCCAACCCCGGCCCGCCCCTACTCTGCAGCTGACTTTCTGGGCTGGAGGGGTGGGGTCCAGTCCTGTAGTCGGGGGGAGGGGGGTGGGAACGGGACGGTTCTGCTTAAAGACTGTTGAAAATCCACAGCCAGGCAGGAGGAAACCCTTGCTGGCTCTGCCCAGCCCTCTCTGGGCACCTCCTGCCCCACCCCAACCGCCACCTTTCTTCATGGGCTCCAACTCACCCTTGAAGACGAAGTTATAATCCTCTTCGGCTCTGTTCCCCATCTTGGCTCCGCATGAGAGCTCAGGGTCAACGGTGGGGGGCAAAGGGGTCCGGTCTGCGCGTTGGGTCAAAGCCCTGGGCCCTCGGCTCCTCTGCAGAGGCCTGGAGCCGTTCCTCCTCTCATTGAGGGCAGGGAAACTGCCACAGCCAGTGAGGCGAGGCACTGCAGGCCAGGGAGGGCCTGGGCAGCTCCACTGGACTGTGGGGTGCTCCGGAGTGGCCGCCCGGGAGGACGGAAGCCGAGAGCAGGAAGAGCGGGTGGCTGGAGACCTGGGGCCCAGGGGGGTGGAGACGCTGACGTCAGACAGGTCCGACAGGTTGGGTGTCGCTCCCTGCTGGGTTCCTGAGCACCTGGGCGCTGACTCCAGGGTAGCCGCGGGGGCCATGGGTGGGGTGGGGGGGGGGCGCAGGGAGGGGTGAGGAGGCTCCTGGTGCTTTTAAGGGGGGGCAGCCTGCGGGAGGGGGAGCAGAGAACCACTGGGCCTCCTGTTTGTCCTCTAGCACCTTTGGGCACTCAGCAACAGGACTGCAGAGGCCAGGCTGGAGTCGTGGGCACACACTCTGGAGGGGGCATCCTGCAGCTTCTGCCCCTCCTGAGAACCCAGGCCTGGGGCGGGCACTCACTCTGCCTGGGTGGAGCTGGGACCTGCCACCTGAGTCCCTGCAATTGAGTCTCCTTTCTGAGGGCACAGGGGCAGGGGCTGGGTCCCACCCAGACCTGCTCTAAGGCTGGTGGAGAGACCTTGGCAAAGCCGTAGAGTTCGAGTGGGAAGGACGGGAGGCCCGAGTGTAGGGTTCTTTTTTTTTTTTTCTTTGAGCCGTACAGGGCAGTGCTCAAGGCTTACTCCTGGCAGGGCTTGGGGGTCTCTGAGCAGGGATGCCAGGGATTGAGCATGGGTCAATCGTGTGCAAGGCAAACACCCTACACGCTGTTCTAGCTCTCAAGTTCCCTGGGTTTCTCCTTTCTCCCCCAAACCTGCCTTTTTTATCTGGCAGGTGGTAAGGTATGGTACCCCAGACAGTGCTCAGGGCTCGCTCTTGGCAGGACTCAGGGGACAATATACAGTGTCAGGGAGTCATGCCCGGTCAGCGGCACACAAGGCCAGTGCCTCCCCCATTCCTCACTGTACTCCCTTGGGCACCCCCAGAACTCGTCTCACATGGAGCAGGCCCTGGGTTCAGACCCACGCCTCCCCCTTCACACATGCACACGCAGAGGGTCAGTGGGAGCTTGTGAAGATCCAGCAGAACACAAATTGGACCCCCTCCATAGCAGGGGCCTCAATTGATGTAGAAGGGTAACGAACCCCCAGGCTCTACTCTGTTATTATGAGAGTGTAAGCAGAAAAGGAACTCGATTTGCTGCTTGGGGCCGTTTCTAATGTACGATCTTGGTGGCAGGGATGGAAACCAGATGCCCATACACCCTGCTACGTGCTTGGCGAAGAAGTTTATTTGAAGGAAGAAAGTCCCCAAGCCCAGAAAAACAGCAGGGCTCTTCGTAAGGACAGCCAAAGATCCGGAAAGTTCTAGAAGCCCAGGAGTCTGGCCTTCTGCAGTGCATCTATCTGCCCCCACAGGCCTGCTCTGCACATGGAAGCCCACCCAATGCATCTCTACCTCCAAATTCTTTGTTCACTGCAGCCCCTCTAGTCCCTGGTCCTGCTGTGTCTCCTCTAGGGCTTTGCCAACCAGGTGGGGGAGGCAGCATTTTGTTCTGAGTGACAGGGCCAAAGGGAGGCTGAATCTGTGGCATGAAAGCCCATTGGGCTATTGCGAGGCGGCAGAGGGGTCTGTGGCAGAGAGGGTCCGAGCAGGTCAGGCGAAGAAGCTGGCCACAGGCTCGTACCAAGCGGTTTCTCCCACCCCAAAGAGCAATCATTACCAAAGACGGAATTTGGACTTCTTTTATTAATTATTAATTAACTAATTATTTTGGTTTTCGGGCCGCACCAGCGATGCGTAGGGGTTACTCCTAGTTCTGCTCGGGAGGCCATATGGGATACCGGGGATCGATCCAGGTCAGCTGTATGCAAGGCAAGTGCTCCACCTGCTGTGCTATCATTCCGGCTCCTGAATTTCCTCTCGAACAAAAACAAAAGCCCCACGTTGCCCCCACCCTGCAATGTCCAGGAAGGTTCCCAGGGATCACTTCTCCGCTTTGTTCCCACTTCCTTGATGTCCGTCACGAAGCTGCTACCTGGGTCAGTGGCTCCTCCAGGTACTGCACCAAAGCTTGAGCCTGCGAGAAGGGTTCGGAAGAAAGTGTCTCACCCCTGGGCTGGCACAGGAGGGATCCCACTGCAGGAGGAAGCCCACCGGGCACCCCCAGCACTCGTCTGCTCCAGACAGGGGCTCTGCGACACAAACGCAACCCCGGGAGGTGGCAGGGTTGGCAGCATAGACGTGTGGGAGCAGGACAAGGGGCCCAAGGGCTGCACTACAGGGCCTGGACATACCTTGGCCTTGAGCATCCCGAAGCCAACTGTCTCCTTGGCGTACATGCACAGCAGAAGGTTCGCCACACGCGTGATGGCTACGCGGCCTTCCTGGTGGGGGGAAACCCTGGATGTGATGCCCTGCTGGGCCACCGGGGTCCCCCTAGAAGGACTATCCCTGCCATCCAGGTCAGGACTGTGCTAGTGAGGGGGTTGCTCTGGCCAGGGCCCGGAGCCCAGGCTCAGCCTCAGACAGCTACCTGCTGACAAGCACCTTTGAGTAAGAGGTGTCCCTAGAACCGCTTACCGCTGGGGAAGCTGCTAGGAATACACAGTTGTGTACGGGCAAAGGGCTGCCCAAGTGGGCGATACCGGGAATATGGACTCACCTCAAACGTATATAAAGGGCTTGAAAGCATTATGCCAGCTTGTTTCTCTATTCTCACGGAGATGTTTTTTTCGAATTGCAATTTTCTTCTTTTTTTTTTTTTTGTGGGAGGGCAACACTGTCAGTGTTCCGAACTTACTCCTGGCTCTTGAGCGCAGAGATCACTCCTGGAAGGGCTCAGGGGACTATATGGGCGGCTGGGGACTGGACAAAGTTCAGCCGTGTGCAAGGCAAGTGCCCTATGTGCAAATATTTCTCCCTGGCCCTGCAAACTACAACTTTTAGTTTTTGTTTTGGGGCCATACCCGGCTGTGTTCAGGGATCACACCTGGTGGGGTTCAGAGGATCCTATGAGATACCAGGGATCAAAGTGGGGTCAGCTGTGTGAGGCAAATGCCATACTGGCTATCCTATCTCTCTGGCTCTTAAATTGCAGTTTTAACCCCCAGGACTTAGAAACTGAGGGCTGTGGGGCCTAGAGAGATAATACAGGGGTTAAGGCACCTGTCTTAAGAGGTCCTAGGTTGGAGCCCTGGCACAGTATAGGGTCCTCAGAGCTCCACCAAAAGCAATCCCTGAGTACGACTGGGTGTGCACCTGCCTCAGAAAAACAAATAAAAAATAAAAAGATAGAAATCAGGGGAAAAGCACAGCAATCGTGCAAAAGGCTACAAGCATTTTGTTTTTGGGCCACACCCAGCAGTGCTCAGAGCTCAGTACAGTGATGATGGTAGGGGCATGTGGTGGCAGGGACCAAAGCCAGGGCCTCACACACACTGGGCATGTGCTCTACCTATGAGCACCTTTCTGGCCCCAAAAGGTGTTTTTCTTTTTTGGGGGGGCCACTGGGGTGTTGGGCCACTCAGTGGAACTCAGGGCTTCTCTTAGCTCTATTTTCAGGGGAATCCTATGCAGTGCTGCAGTTAAACTAGGGTTGGCCACATACAAAGCAAATGCCCCAACTGTGTAGTATCTCTCAAGCTCCTAAAATGTTATTTTTGGGTCACACCCAAGGAAGCTCAGGGATCACTTCTGGTGATGTCTGGGGAACCCTATATGGTTCTGGGGACAGCTTATCCACTCAGCCCCTCCATTGACTTTCACGGAGGTTTACTATGTCAGCACCTTAGAAAGGTTCATGACTTACCCCAGAGTTCAGAAGCGGTAAGTGGCCGAGAACCTCAGTCTGCCCATCCTAGGCACCCCCTGACGTTTGGAGCCTTGCCTGTTACCAACATGCTCACTGCCTACAGTCAGGGGCTTCTGCAGATCCAGTCCCTGCCCCTCCAAGCAGAGGGACAGGGGGCCCCCCAAGGCACCCCTCTCCCTACCATGCAGTCCATGAGGATGAATTTAAGGTTGTCTTCATTGAACGCCTGGTTGCCATTCCGGTCGTAGGCGGCCCAGATGTTGCTGGCGATGGCCGCGGTGACCCGGGCATCCGTGTCCCCGTAACCGGAGTAGGCCAAGAGTGACCCTTCGTTATTCAGCAGCCTGCGGAGGGGCGGGCAGGAGGGTCATCGCTGTGTCCAGCCCGGGGCGTCCAACCTGCTTCCCCCTCCCAACTCGAGCCTGTCGTGTAGGATCCAGCTCGGGTGAGTCCGGGGAGGTGGCCCCAGCCCCGGGCCTGCCTTCTCGGGAGGGCCCAGCGCAGGACGGTGTCCCAGACCTCCCTCCTCCCTCGCAGGGGCGCGCGCCGCTCGGCTCCGGGTCTCGCCCGAAAAGGTGCGCACTCACAGGGTGCTCTGGACGCCGCCGGTGTTGGCTTGGCTTAGCACCTGGGTCAAAGCCTTGGGACGCAGCATGCCGGCGGCTCCAGAGCTGGCCTTGTGCAAAACCCCGATTGGCGCCTGCGATCCGCAAACCTGGGCCAGCCGCTTCCGCAGCCCCGCAGCTGCCCAGCCCCGGAATGCCCCGGGAGGAGGGTTTCCTCGCCTCGCTTTCGTAGTTCCGACTCGACACCGCCCCGCCGCGGGGAACGCTGGGAGTTGTAGTTCCCGGGCCTCGCGCAGCTGCCTGGGAAGGAGAGTTCGCCTTAGCAGTCAGACCACGCGGTTGTAGGGGAAAAAGAGCGGGAGTGCAGGGACAGTGGCAATCCTAGAAGGGTTCGTTTAGCCTCCGCGGGGAGCGAGGAATCACCACGCCCGCTTGGAGATGCACGATTCGGCCGTGTCTTTTGTGAAGTCCCCGTGCTGTCGCTCCGGCACCCCTTTGGTTACTTTGCAAAGCAGTTTTTTTTTCTCCACTACGCACCACTGCGGGAGACGAGTTATTAGTTGGGTTACTCTTGAGGCTCTGGAGGGACCCGAGGCCCGGGAAGGCCACGCAGGCGGGGTGCCCGCACCGTGGAGGCGAACTTGATCAGACCGTGCAGACCACGAACCCAGGGCCAAGGGGGTGCGCCCTAGAGACCCCAGCAGCAAGACGCGCGGAGGGCCAAGTTCTAGTCCGGGGAGGCCCCGGGCTGGAAAGGCTCTGGGCTCCGCGCGCAAGGACCGAGATCCCAGGGCACGTAGATAAATCGGCGACAACAGAAGGTCCTTTGTCCCGGAGAGGGAGTTACCCGCGGCGGGGGCTGGGGCAGCTTCGGGCCCAAGGGAGCCTCGGCGCGGCTCGGGTGGGTCGCGGTCCCGCGGCCGCTGCAGTGAAGGACACGCCCTGCCCTCGCCCTGGGTCCCTCGCGGGGCCACCGCCCGGCCCGGCCCAGTGCAGGCAGGCGGCGGGACCCCCGGGCTCGGGCCTGGGCGGACCCCGCTGCAGTGGCCCCCCCGGTCCGCCCGGGGCGCTGTGGCTGCGGCAGGTCCGGAGGGGGCGGTGGAGCCTTGGGGAGGGGAGGGGAGGGGAGAGGGGAGTGTTGGAGGCGCCGGAGCCGAGCCGGGCAGGCCGGGCGGGCGGGGAGGAGGAGGAGGAGCCGGGGCGGGCTGGCGGGCGGCCGGGTGGCGGCGGCGGCATGGCGGAGCCGAGTGGGGCCGAGGCGAGGCCCCCCATTCGGGTCACCGTCAAGACCCCCAAGGACAAGGAAGAGATTGTGATCTGCGACCGAGCCTCGGTCAAGGAGGTAGTGCGGGCTGGGGGGGTGGGGAGCGTGCAGCAGGGGTCTGCGAGAGCACTGCGGGGGGGTGCTCCGGGACGGGGTGGGGGGGCGCACGGGAGGGCCGGGGGTCCCCGTGCGCACCCGAGGGGGGGCGCTAGCGAGGGCCAGGCGGGGAGGGGGCGCGCTGCGAGGCCAGGTGAGGGAGCGCGGCGCGTGCTGCGGGACGCGGGGGGGAGGCCCGGGGTCGCCGAGTGGCCGGGGCGGGGGGGCGTGGTGAGGGTGGGGACGGGGAAGGACGCGGGTCGGCGCGGAGTGTGCGGCTCCCGCGGCGGGTCGGGGTTCGAGGCGCGGAGGCAGCGTGGGGGGCCGCGGCCGAGTGCAGAGGCCGCGCTCGGAGCCAGGAGCGCGGCGGGGGCCGGGGAGGACGCCCCCTGGCCCGCGTGCTTCCCCCTGGCTCCCCAGGGCCCCGGGGATTCGCCCAGCGTGCAGTAGGTGCTCACTAAAAGCGTGCTGCACGAGGAACCGAGGGCAGGACGCTCGCCCGCGTCCACCACCCCCCGGCGGCCGCTTCCGAATTTCACAGGGGCGGGGCCTGCGCGGGCCCTTCTGGTTGGAAGCGCCGAGTGGCGGCGCCGCCTGGGCGCAGCAAGTGCACGCGCCGCCCGCACACAGTGCTCCGTGCGGGGCTGTTTGCGGGGGTCCGCGCGCCGCGCAGCCCGCGTCTTCGCTGCCGTCCGTCGTCGCCCTCCCGCCTTGCTGAATTCGTGGCTGTTTGGCGGAGCTGGGGATGGGGTGTCCCATCGGCCGGTGCTGAGGGGGAGCTGGGGGCTCCTTCCCGGCTCCGTGCGGGGCGCTGTGCCCCGGCTTCTCCCACGCACGGTGTCCAGCCCAGATCCCAGGCCTCTCGCGTGGTGCCCAGGGGCCGAGAGAGATGGGACAGCGGGGAGGGCGCTTGCCTTGCCCGTGGGTTCCATCCCCAGCATCCCAGATATCCACGGAGCCCCACTATAAGCCCTGAGCGCGGCCAGCCGTACCCCCGTCCCCCAAAATAAAGGATATGCCCCGCCCTTGGAGCGCTCTTTCAAGCCACTACTGGAAATAAGGCAGTGTGTTTAGTAAAGATCGGCAGCCTGCCTGACCCTCAGTTTTCTCTTCAAAACCCCAGGGGTCTGGGGGATTTGGGCTGAAAGGGCTGGAATGTGCTTTGCTCCTGGGAGCCCCTGCAGCACTTCTGAGCCCAGCACCTCTGGGTGTGGCCCCCAAACAAACACACAACAAAAACAAGGTGGAGATAATCTACATTGGAATTTAGGTAGGTGGGGGAACTGGCCACACCCCTCCTATGCCTGGCTCTGCCCTCAGGGAAAACTTCTGGTGGAGCTCTAGGGATCTTGTGGGGTGCCACATGCAAAGCAATTGCCTTCTCAGATGTTCTGTTTGTCTTTTTGGAGGGGCCACACCTAGTGATGCTCAGGGTTTACTCCTGGCTCTGCTTAGGGATTACTCCTGGTAGGGCTGGAGGGGGGAGGAGGACCACATGGGGTGCCAAGGATGAAACTGGGTGGGCAAGGCAAGTGACTTACCCCTTGTACTATGACTCCTCACTCAGACTTACACTTTTTTTTCTTTTTGGGTCACACCCGACAATGCACAGGGGTTGCTCCTGGTTCCGCACTCAGGAATTACTCTTGGCGGTGCTCAGGGACCATATGGGGTGCTGGGAATAGAACCCAGGTTAGCCGCTTGCAAGGCAAACGCTGCTCCAGCACCCCAGACTTAAAACTTGGGAATGGTTGATGCTTCATGGAATAACCCATTTCTAGTTGTTATCATTGTGGCAAAAAGGCTGAGCGCCACGAGGAGTGTGACAGGAGGCCTGAGAAGGGAAGTCTGGAAGGTGTCAGGGCTGCGGCCAAGAAGGAAGGAGAGGATGGAGAGAAAATACCCGGCATGTACTTCCCAGGGCCCAGGGCAAAGGGGCTGAAGAGGGGTGTAGAGACCCTGAGGCCAAGCCCGGAGACTCTGTAGAGCTGGCTTCTGCTGTTGGTTAAGAAAAGAACTGCTGGTGGGTTGGGAGAGATGGCTCCAAAGGCTGAGTACATGCCTCACGTGTGGGAGCCCCGGGATCGGGTCCCTAAACACTGGCTGAAAATGACTCTTGAGCACCAAGTGGGGCAGTAGCCTCTTAGCACTACTGGCGGGTTGGGGGCAGCTAGGATTTGACCTAATGTTTTAGCACTTGCTTTCCTGTGTGAGGTCCTGAGTTTGAGCCTCATGACCCCAACAAATAGAGAAGAGGATCAATGAGAGAACGCTCAACGGCTGAGCTTATCATAGGAGATTGAGGTTCGATCCCTGGTACCATAGTGGGGTCCCTGAGCACAAATTGGAGATAAGCCCCAAGCACTGCGAGATGGGACCCCAAGTCCAAAAATAAAAGATGGGGCCAGAGCAATGGCACAGTAGGGGTAGGGGTGTAACAGTAGGGCATTTGCCTTGCACGTGGCTGACCCAGATTCAGCCCCAGGCACCATATATGGGGTCCAAGCTGGGTGTGGTCTCCAAACCAAAACCAAGTCAAAAACTAGGAGGAAAAGAAAGGAGCTGGAGGGGTGGCCAAGGCAGCAGAATGGGCCTCCCACTGGAGAAGGAGCCTTGGGCCTGGGGGGCAACACCCACCCACAGTGACCCCTGCCTCTTGGTCGCAGTTCAAAGAGGAAATCTCCAGGAGGTTTAAGGCTCAGCAGGATCAGCTGGTCCTGATCTTCGCAGGCAAGATCCTCAAGGACGGGGACACGCTGAGCCAGCACGGGATCAAGGATGGACTCACTGTCCACCTGGTCATCAAGACCCCTCAGAAGTAAGTTTCTGGGAGGATCAGGCCTGCTTGGCATGGGCCCCTTGTTCCCTCAGATCACTCCCTGCTCGTGCTCCCTGTGCCTCGGGCCTTCACCCCCTCTCCTGGTCCTCATGTGTGCTTGGGGTCTCTTTCTGTGTCCTCAGGGCTCAAGATCCAGCTGCGGTCACTGCTTCTTCCCCCTCCACCCTGGACCCCACCTCCGCACCCTCCACCACTCCCACTTCACCTGCCACCCCCACCCAGACCTCCGCTCCCGGCGGTGCCACCTCGGATGCAGGCAGTGGAAGCCGCCGAAGCAGTGGGGGGGGCCCGTCCCCTGGGGCTGGGGAGGGCCCCCCCAGTGTTACTGCGTCCATTCTCTGTAAGCACTGTGGTGGGGGGAGGGGGGCGGAGGGGGCACGCCCAGAGGAAGGGGAACCAGGAACCTCCGCAGTGGGAAGGTTTTCTGAGCTGGGGCGGAAGGTGGAAGGTGGAAGGGCAGGAAGTCAGCCTTTGATGGAGCTGCAGAGGAGAGAGTGGGAAAGGGGGTGCGGGGACGTCTGTGAAGAGACTGGCCTTTGGGATGGCAGTGGGTGCATTAGGAGCCTGTGGGGGACAGGAATGTCACCCATCCCAACCACTCCTGTGTCATCCTTTTTTTTTCTTCTTTTTGGGTCACACCTGGAGATGCACAGGGGTTACTCCTGGCTCTGCTCTCAGGAATTACTCCTGGTGGTGCTCGGGGGACCATATGGGATGCTGGGAATCGAACCTGGGTCGGCTCATGCAAGGCAAATAATGCCCTACCCGCTGTACTATTGCTCCAGCAATCCTTTTCTTTTTTGGGGGGGGGCCACACCTCATGGTGCTCAGGAATTACACCTGGCAGACTCGGGGTTCTGGGTAGCAAACCAGGTCACAGCCACGTGCGAGGCAAATGCCACCCGCTGTCCTATGGCTCCAGCCCCTGGCCTGTGCTCAGTCCCACTGGCTGTTCTCCAAGCTTCAGTGGAGTTGGGACGGAGGTGCTGGGCAAGGGCTGACATCTGTGGTCCTGTGGCAGACAGTGACCCTGTCCCCTCCCTGCAGCTGGCTTCGGGGGTATCCTGGGCCTGGGCAGCCTGGGCCTGGGCTCGGCCAACTTCATGGAGCTGCAGCAGCAGATGCAGAGGCAGCTGATGTCCAACCCCGAGATGCTCTCGCAGATCATGGAGAACCCCCTGGTTCAGGACATGATGTCCAACCCCGACTTGATGCGCCACATGATCATGGCCAACCCCCAGATGCAGCAGCTGATGGAGCGGAACCCCGAGATCAGCCACATGCTCAACAACCCTGAGCTCATGAGGCAGGTGAGTGAGTGAGAGGGGTGATGAGGCCAGGGGACACCCGGTGTTCTGCGCTCACCTGCCTGCCCTTTCCCCACCCCTACCCTGCTCGAATTATTTGTTCACTCATGAATTCACTCAGCAGCCATGTTCCACACTAGGGGCACAGTCGTGCGGACACAACCCTCAGGACTCCTGGTCTCCAAGGGAAGTGTGATGAGCAAGCAGCTGGAACAGGGACAGAGAGATAGCATAGTGGGGTATTTCCCAGCCCCACCTAAGCACCACTAGGTGTGGCTCTCCCCCTCCGTCCCCCGTACCCCCCCAAAAAAAAACTGAACAGTGGGGGCTCTCCCTGGGTGTTGTCTTTCATATAATCTCCCGAGAGTGCTGTAGAGAGGCTGGGAGTAAGAAGAGGGTGTGCAGGGCCAGGGATAGTGGCCCTGAAGGTCTGGGAGTGAAACGTAGGGAAGGAAGGTGAGGAACTCCTGCCAGGGCTGGGTGGGGCCAGGCTTTGTGTCAATCTTGGAAGTTCTGTTCCTTCCAGCAATTGCTTGGCCTTTGGGCTCACAACAGTGCCTGGAGCTTGAAATTCAGTTACAAAGAACTCTGTAACTTTGTATTTCTCAATGGTGGTTCAACTTTTTTTTAAAAATAGGGGCTGGAGGGGCTGGAGCAGTAGCACAGCGGGTAGGGTGTTTGCCTTGCACGCAGCCAACATTGCGGACCCAGGTTCGATTCCCAGCATCCCATATGGTCCCCCGAGCACCGCCAGGAGTAATTCCTGAGTGCCTGAGCCAGGAGTAACCCCTGAGCATCGCCGGGTGTGACCCAAAAAGAAAAAAAAAATAGGGGCCGGAGCAATAGCACAGCAGGTAGGGCGTTTGCCTTGCATGCGGCCGGACTGGGTTGGATCCCCGGCATCCCATATGGTCCCCCAAGCACCGCCAGGAGTAATTCCTGAGTGCAGAGACAGGAATAACCCCTGAGTATCGCTGGGTGTGATCCAAAAAGCAAAAAAAAAAAAAATTTAAATAATAATAATAAAAATGGAATAGTGCCTGAAGCCTTGTCTTCACTGGGTCGGTCACTAAGTGAGCAGATCCCAGGGTGTGGCTCAGGGATAGAATCCAGGCGGCAGCCTGGCCTGTGGGACGCTGGGCTTGACCCCTAGAATCCTCTAGGGAATTGTGACTGGAGTTGATATTGGCTGGCACTGTTCATCTGTCTCAGGGAGAGCTCAGCCTCAGGGCCTTCTCTACTTGTGGTCCTTTGTCAGGGACTCTGCCTGGTCAGACCAGCCTGGCCTGCAGTCTGGCCCCATCATGGTGGGCTGTAGCTGTATAAGAGGAGTCTTCACTTCTGTTCTCATCTGTAAAACAGAGATAGAAATCCCTCTAGGGGTGGGGTGGTGTTCACTCTGGGCTGGAGTAAATTTGACTGTCACAGTTGCCTGTATGTAGAAGGAGCTCTGTGGGGTGGTTTCCCTTCCCTCCTCCCTCCCCGCCTCATTTCCTGGTGCTTCCCAAGATATCTGTGGGCATTCTGAGCCTGGGTTGACCTCACCCCACTTCGAAAAATGCACCCCATTAGAAGTCCTCTCTCATCCATAGGGAGTCAGCTGTGACACCTTCATTTATTTGGGGGGGGCACTCCTGGTGGTGCTCAGGGACCACTTTTGGCAGGCTCAAGTTCATTCAAGGTGTTTGCTGGGGATCAAACTTGGGTTGGCCACATGCAAGGCAAATGCCCTGTCTGCAAAAAAAAAAAAAAAAAAAGCCCTGTCTGCGGTATTATTGCTCTGGTCCCACACCTTAATTTAATTAATTAATTAATTGCTTTTTGGGTCACACCCGGCGATGCACAAGGGTTACTCCTGGCTCTGCACTCAGGAATTACTCCTGGCGGTTCTCGGGAGACCATATGGGATGCTGGGAATCGAACCCGGGTTGGCTGCGTGCAAGGCAAATACCATGCCCGTTGTGCTATCGCTCCAGCCCCCCCACACTTCAATTTTAATCAAGGAAGGAACTCTAGTCTCCCTATAGCCAGTTCCTGGACCTAGAATCCTCATCCTGGTGCAGGCCTCGCCTTAGGGGCTCCCCATTCCCCAGCTCAGTGCTTCTTGGTCCCAGGTTCCATCCTGTGTCTCTCCCTCAGACGATGGAGCTCGCCCGGAACCCAGCCATGATGCAGGAGATGATGCGAAACCAGGACCGGGCCCTGAGCAACCTGGAGAGCATCCCTGGGGGGTATAACGCCCTGCGCCGCATGTATACAGACATCCAGGAGCCCATGTTCAGCGCTGCCCGGGAACAGGTGGGCTTGGGTTCGGGATTCCTTCCTCCAGACTGCAGCAGATCTGCCCCTCTCTGCTGCTCACCCCTCGCAGCAGGGGACTGGGTCTGACACCCTGGGACAGAAGGTTGCCGAATTCCTCAGGAAGGCTTCCAGAGGCTCTGAGGGGGCAGAGGCCAGCCCAGGGTCATACTCACTCACCCACCCCAGAGAGGCTGAGTGTGGCACTCATGTCACCTACACCGGGATCATCTGGGCACCTTATTGATAACCTGTCCCCGGGCCCCCACTGTGAGTTACTTCCAGAACACTTGTTGGAATCAGGACCTGGGAATGTGCGTTTTTCTTGGTTGAATTTCGGTTTGCGGGGGGCACACTTGGTGGTGCTCAGGGCTTACTCCCACCTCAGTGTTCAAGGATCACTCCTGGTTGGGTCCTGGGGGTGCCCTCTGCCGTGCTGGGCACCAAGCCCAGGTTGACCATGTAAAGCAAGTGCCTTAACCCCTGTACCTTCTTTCTGGCCCTGGAATAAGTGCTGAGAATGGTTTATGAATTCATTCCATATAGACAAAATTAAAGATACGATCACGGCATTCTCTTACATACACATTGTCCTCACAGACTGCCAAGTCTCCTTGACTTTTTGCATCCTTTATATTAATTTTTTTTTTTTTGGTGTGTATCTTTTCTGATGTTTTGATCAGGTTCAGTGTTCCTTCGGGGGTCACTCCTGACAGTGCTCAGGAGGCCATGCTGTGCCAAGGGTTTGTCTTTCCTTCCTTCTTTGCTCCACTCCTCCCTTCCTTCTGGCTCTCCCTCCCTCCCTCCCTTCCTTATGTCCTTCCCCACTCCCTCAACTCCCTCCCTCCCTCCTTTCCTTCTCACCTTTCCCTCTCCCTCCCCTCCCCTCCTCTTCCCTTCCCTCTGATGGTCTTCAGGGGCTACTGGAGAAAGGTGCCTCTACGATACATGTAAGCTTGATACATCTTGCACAAATGAACAGACACCAGCTCACAGTGCCAGGCAAGGTGATCCCCTCCCTTCTCCTTAAACTGGTCAGTGCTGGCCAGTGGCCGCTTCTGTGCACCTCTGCAGATGGTCACAAGCTTGCTGACTCTTCCCCACTGATCTGTTCCTTCCTCCCGATGGTAATTCTACAGTGTCGTAGTTCTGGGCATCTCACGAAAGGAACCCCCACCTTATTCTTTATCATCTAGAATATTCTTGGCAGTGCTCTTTGCCATTTTAGCACTTGTTTCTAGGAATCCCTTGTGAATTTGTAAAACTTTTGTTTTGGGGCCACATTTGGAGGTACTCAGGGGTCACTCCTGATTGGACTATGTGGTGCTGGAGATTGAACCTGGGTTGGTAACTTGCAAGGCAAGCACCTTACCTGTTGTCCTATCTCTCTGGCCCCAATATTTGTCCATAAAATCAAGGTACTTTTTTGGGGGGTTGGTTGCACCCAATGATGCTCAGGGGTTACTCCTGCCTCTGCATTCAGGAATTATTCCTGGTAGTTCTCAGGGGAACATATGGGGTGCTGGGGATTGAGCCTGGGTCGACTGCAAGGCAAATGCTCTACCCACTGTACTATTGCCCTACCCACCCCCAAATTAAGGTACATTTAAATAATATTTATTGGGGTTAGGAGATTATGCAATAGTTAGGTGACATACATGCCCCAGCCCAGGTGTTTCTTTTTTTTTCTTTTTTAATAAAGTGAGCTGTACTGGCTTTAATTTATTTTTTTGCTTTTTGGGTCACACCTGGCGATGCCCAAGGGTTACTCCTGGCTCGTGAACTAAGGAATTATTCCTGGCAGTGCTCAGGGGACCATATGGGATGCTGGGAATCGAACCCAGATCAGCTGCATGCAAGGCAAACGCCCTACCTGCTGTGCTATCACTCCAGCCCCTCGGGTTTCATTTCTGGAACCAGATGTAGTTTCCTAAGCACTGCCAGAGTCGGAGTATGCCCTAAGTTTGGTCAGGTGTGGCCCAGAAACAAATAATCTCTTCAGAAGAAAAAGTCGTCTTTTTGGAGTTTGCCAGATCTTTTTAATGTCAGGCTCACTATAATACGGCTAGAGTTGGCCAGAGAGTTAGAGCAGGGGCCTTGCATGCGACCACCCAAATTTAGTCCCAGACAGACTGATCAGGAGTAGCCTCTGAGCACTGTTGGGTGTGGCCCCCACACAAAAACAAAACAAAAAAAACAGTTGATGAGCCAGAGTGATAGTACAATAGGGCATTTTCTGCTAACACCCGGGTTCAATCCCAAGCCCTGCCTGGAGTGATCTCTGGGCGCATATTCAGGAGTAACCCCCCCCCCCATTACAGGATGTGACTCCAAAACAAAAATAACCGCAAAGCAGTTGGAATCTCAGGTCTGATTGTCCGTGCTCTGTGCAGGGGACATGTTAAACAGCGTTTAGATATCTTTCCCTGAATGCTTCCGTGAGAGTGAGAGTGAAGGAGGAATGTTTAAAACTATTTTTTTTTCTTTTTGGGTTACACCCGGCATTCACAGGGATTACTCCTGGCTCATACACTCAGTAATTACTCCTGGCTGTGCTTGGGGGAATCATATGGGATGCTGGGAATCAAACCCAGGTTGGCCGCGTGCAAGGCAAATGCCCTACCCGCTGTGCTATCGCTTCAGCCCTTTAAACTCTTTTTAAAAAAATAAAGTGCATTTGGAGGAGGGGGTGGGCCAGAGAGCTAGCTTGCTTTGAGCACTTTGTATGCTATATCCCAGGTTCAATCTCTAGCAGGATACGGTCTTCGAACATCGTCAGAAGTGACCCCGAGCACTGCAGAGTGTAACCCCGAATAAAAAGAAAAAAAATTTCCCCCCACAAAATACAGTCTTGGGGGCCAGAGAGGTAGTTTGGTAGTCGGCAGGAGCACATGCATTTCCTGTAGGGCACCCTTGGTTCAATCCCCAGCATCTTGTGATCCTCAAGCTTTCGGCCTCATATAGCCCCTGAGCACAACCAGGTGTGGCCCCAAAACCAAAGGAAACAAATAAAAAAAAGTTCGAACCTTACTAGCGGTGCTAGGGCCATGATAGTCATTGGCATATAAGAGAGATAGTGTAAACCTGAATAGAAATAAGCCAGGTGCGTAGTAGGTGCTCAGCGAATGTGGTTGTCTCTGTGGAACTGCTGGAAGAAAGATTATGCAGTTTACCAAGTGTGCCCTACAGTGTACCAAGAAATTTAAGAGAAATAAGACAGTGGGGAGAGTGCTCGCCAGGCTGAGCTCATTGTAGTCCTCAGGACTGCTTATGGTTCACTGAGCTCCACCAGGAGTGATCCCTGAGCATCGCACCATGTTCCAGAAACCCCCAAGAAGAGGGCGTGATGAAGTGGGGTTGGTGTCGGGTCGTTACCAGAGCAGACCTTTGGTAGGGATCGATGAGCCGTGGCCCTATGCTGGCTGAACAAGCAGTGGGCTACAGATAGACCCCAGTTTTGCCCAGGAGAGGCCCCGCGAGCCCTGCCCCCAGGACCCTCAGAATAAACAGTGGCGACTGGGAGCGCTGACTCAGATCATGTACTCCGGGCAGGACCCTCTGGGACCTTGGTGGGCGGAGCCAGAGAGATGGGGAGTTTTGGGGCTCCTGCCAGCCCCCTTGGGGTGCCAATGCATCCAGGGGGAAGACCCAGGGGGCCCCCAGATCTCTTTCACACCTTCACCCAAAACTTTTGCCTCCTCCCAGTTCGGCAACAACCCCTTCTCCTCCCTGGCCGGGAACTCGGACACCTCCTCATCCCAGCCTCTGCGGACTGAGAACCGAGAGCCCCTCCCGAACCCCTGGAGCCCCTCGCCCCCCAGCTCGCAGGCCCCCGGGGCAGGCGGGGAGGGCAGCGGAGGATCAGGCACCAGCCAGGTGCATCCAACTGTCTCAAACCCCTTTGGGATCAATGCTGCTAGCCTGGGGTCAGGTATGTCTTAGCTTCACATGTCCCACGGGCAGGGCCGAATGGGGGTCGTGGTGCTCCTGAAATTGAGACTGAAGCCTCGAGGGTGGTGGCCCCCATCCCCTGGGACTGGCCCCAGTAACTGCCCAGGAGTAAATTATTCCTCCCTCATGCTCTCTGCCCTGTGCTCTGCACACTGACCGGTGGTGCAAATCTGGTGGGGACTGTGGGGATACCTGGCCTGGCAGTTGAGGGGGGTTGGAGAAAAGAGTTGCTGGGCTGCCATGGACTGAGTGTGGGTTCTTTGTTGGGGGTGCCCCTTTCTCCTGCACTGTTCCTGCACCTTGACCCTGGGAGCGTGGATGCCCCAATTTCTCTGGATCCCGTTGTGTCTCGGCCCCCATTTTTATTTTATTTTTTCCCCTTTTTTTTGGGGGGGGTCACACCCAGCGATGCACAGGGGTTACTCCTGGCTCTGCACTCAAGGAATTACTCCTGGCGGTGCTTGGGGAACCATATGGGATGCTGGGAATCGAACCCGAGTCTGCCAGGTGCAAGGCAAACGCCCTACCTGCTGTGCTATCACTCCAGCCCCTCAGCCCCCATTTTTAAAACCCAGGACATAAATTCAGTGCCTGGCTTTGAGGTTGTGGTTTATTTATTTTTTTATCTTGTTTCAAATTTTTATTTTGTCACAGTGAAATTACGAAGTCATTCATGATTGAGTTTCAGGCATACAGTGTGTCCATACCCACCCCTTGCCCAGTGTCTGAGGTTGCATTCTTGAGTCCTGAGGTGTGTGGTGACTCAGAGGATAGCCCAAGCCCCAGCACATGCCAGACCTTGGACACGCCTGCTTCTGAACGTGGTTGGGGGTGACAAAGGCGCTTGGCCCCTAAGGCGAGTCCAACCCTTCCCACTTCTGACCTTGGCTGAACTGGGACTGAGGGAATGAATTGGACACAGCGCCCAGCTGACTTGCCCTTGGCAGGGGAGACTGGGGGACACTTGGGGTGCAAAGAGGCCGGCCCCGGCGCCTGTTCCCAGGGCCTTTCCGAGTGTCAGCAGGCAGCATATTACGTCAGGTGGGCTGCAGGGGCGGTGTGTGTGGCACGGTCCGGACCGTCCCTCTCCATGTCCCTGTCTAGGGGTGTTCAACAGCCCTGAGATGCAGGCCCTGCTCCAGCAGATCTCGGAGAACCCCCAGCTGATGCAGAATGTCATCTCCGCACCCTACATGCGCAGCATGATGCAGGCGCTCGCCCAGAACCCCGACTTTGCTACTCAGGTATCAGCAGGGGTGGGGAACTGGCTGGGCAGTGGATGTCCTGGCCAGGGCCTATTCTGGTGGTCACCTCAGGTCCAGCATCTCTGTGGGACTCTGCTGTGAGTTAAGCAGGTTACCCACCCTGGGGTTCTATTCCTTTTTTTTTTTTTTTTGGTCACACCCGGCGATGCACAGGGGTTACTCCTGGCTCTGCACTCAGGAATTACTCCTGGCGGTGCTCAGGGGACCATATGGGATGCTGGGAATCGAACCCGGGTCGGCCGCGTGCAAGGCAAACGCCCTACCTGCTGTGTTATGGCTCCAGCCCCTGGGGTTCTGTTCTTGACAATGGAAACTCCTGGCATGGGGGAGCGGGGTAAGGTACTGCCGTACATGCTATAACCCTGGGTTGACTCTGGCATTGCCAGGACCCCCAGTACCACCGGGAAGTAGCCGTCAGTACACCAGGATGAGGAACAAAACTCCCATAAATGGAGACCCAGTGGCTCCTGCCTCCAGAGCTCTGCGGGTTGGTAGGGTTGCGCTGAGAGCAGCCCCTTGGGGTTCCAGGGCAGTGTGAGGCCTGTACGCATCCTCCACCCCTGCCGGGCCCTCTGGAAAGCGGTGGGTGTCTCTGGGATGTGCTGCCCGGGGTCTGTGTCCTCCCCCGACTCCCTTCCCTGTCTGGCAGATGATGGTCAATGTGCCGCTGTTCGCCGGGAACCCCCAACTGCAAGAGCAGCTCCGCCTGCAGCTGCCAGTCTTCTTGCAGCAGGTGAGCGAGGGCGGCTCCTGCCGCTGCCCCCCACAGTCCTCGAAGGGCTGCGTCGCTGGGGCCTCTCCTGAGGCCCCCGTCAACCGCTGCACCTCTCATACCAGATGCAGAATCCAGAGTCGCTCGCCATCCTCACCAACCCGCGTGCTATGCAGGCGCTACTGCAGATCCAGCAGGGGCTGCAGACCCTGCAGACCGAGGCCCCGGGGCTGGTGCCCAGGTGAGGGCAGGCGGCCTGGTGGGAGGAATCCGTGTCCAGCTAGGAGGGGCTTGCCCCTTGCCCGGGTGGGAGGAGTAATCTCAGGTGGGCGGGGCCGGTGACTGGGAGAGGCAGGTGAGTGACAGCAGGGGTGAGTGACCGCAGGGGCGGCCTCTCCACTTTGGTCCTGGCATCTCTCTGAAAGTGTTTTCCTGTTTCCTCTTACCTTTTTTTTCTCTGAATCTCCAACCTCTTCTCCGTCCCCACCCTCTCCCGCACACTGCCTTGGACTCCCCTGCCCTCAGCCTTGGCTCCTTTGGAATGTCCCGCACCCCAGCACCCTCTGCAGGCAGCAACCCCGGAGCCCAGTCCGAGGGCCCCACCTCCTCACCAGCCCCGTCAACCACGCCCTCCCAGCCCGGGGCCCAGCGGCAGCTCATGCAGCAGATGTTCCAGCTGCTGGCCGGAAGTGGAAGCAACCAGGTACATGGGGTGGGGGTGGGGGGTGCTAGAGCGGGGATGCCCACTTCCATCCCGGCAGTGTCGAACGAGGGTCGAGCAGCCTTTGATGTGGGCGTGACCCGGCATCAGACCCTGCCTTCTTGTAACCGGGAGAAGGACCCACCCTCCCTGACCTGCTTCTGTCGCTGTGAATTGGAGGCGAGAATGGTCAGGGCTGGTGTTGAGGCACTGGCCTTGCAGGCATGGTGCCTCCTGTTTGATCCTTGGCACTGCGGGTAAAGAAGCCTGGGAGAGCTCACTTACGTTTCTCTCCACCGCCCGAGGAACTCTTGACTCTGAGCCGCAGAGGGAAAGGTGGGGTTTGCAGAGGGCATATCGGGGACTTCTTGTGGCCCTCCCAGCCTCTCTTCTGTGACTAGTCTAGTCTGGGGAAACCAGTCAACAGGAATGTCTGGAGAGCATGTGAGAGGAAGGCTTGAGTTCAATCCCCAACACCCCAAGCCTCGGTCACTGCTGGGTGTGACTCTTCATTTAAATATTTTATCTACCCACAAAATGCTTTTTTTTTTTTTTGGCATTTTGGGTCACACTCGGTAGTGTTTAGGGGTTACTCCTGCCTCTGCACTCCTGGTGTTCCTCAGGGGACCATATGGGATGCCAGAGATGAAATTCCAGTTGGCTGCATGCAAGGCAAATACCCTACCCACTGTACTATCGCTCCAGCCCTGTGCCACAAAATTCTTAAAATTGCTGCAAGGTGGGATCACCAGGAACTGGTCCAGCTTTATTTTGAGGAACGAAGAGCCCCAGGAAGGGGTGTCAGGGATTTGGATTTTGGGCTACACCTGGCAATGCTTGGGGCTTACTCCTGGCTCTGCATAGACTCAGGGATCACTCCTGGTGGGGCTTGGAGAACCAACGGGGAGCCGGGGATTGAACTCCGGTCAGCCGCATGCAAGGCAAACGTCCTACCCACTCTACTGTCTCTCTGGCCCCTGGAAAACCTTTTCTTTGTGTTTACTGCCAAGTTAAACAACAGAAAACAGACAGGCCTTGTGTTGCAGAGACCCTCCTGGTCTTCATGCCATGCTTGTGCTATCTTCCCAGCCCCTGTTACTGAAAGCTACCCAGGGGCTGGTGAGATAGTACAGAGGTGAAAGTGCTTCCTTAGCATCTGGCTGGCTCTGGTTCAATCCCTGGTGCCACATATTGTCCCCTGAGCCCTGCCAGGAGTGATCTCTGAGTACAGAGCCAGGGGCTCCCCTGACTACCGCCAGGTGTGGCTCCAAATATCCCTTTCCAGAAACAAAGGAGAAAGTACTCAGGACAGAGAGATAGCACCCGGGTTTAGTCATGCAATGTTGTGGCTGACCCTGGTTCAATCCCCAGCACCGTGGGCCTGTCCTGGGCCACCCCAACTTTGCAGGGTCCGATGGCACCACATCTTCCCACTAATAGTGGACTGCAGGTCTGGCTGGCTGAGGGGCCAGGTGACCTGGGGCACCTGGCCACATTATTACACATTTAGTGACCCTGTTGCCTGCGTGTCCCTCCTGTCCCCCTGCCTGGCTGTCCCGTGCTTCAGAGAGGCCCACGTGGGCCCCCGCTCACCTCATAGCCCCGTCCCCCACTCCAGGTGCAGACGCCAGAGGTCAGGTTCCAACAGCAGCTGGAGCAGCTCAACTCCATGGGCTTCATCAACCGGGAGGCCAACCTGCAGGCCCTGATCGCCACGGGAGGGGACATCAACGCGGCCATCGAGAGACTCCTGGGCTCACAGCTCTCCTAAGCCTGGGCCCGCCCCTGCACTTCCCCGCCCCAGGCACCCGTGTTGGGCTCCTCGGCCAGTTCCCACCCGCTGCTTGTCACCCCCTGTCTCCTCCCTTGTCATGTCCAGCAAGACTTTGGGTGACTTTGGAGCGAGTGCCTCCGTGCTGCGGCGCTGCCCAAGGACACTGGGCTGTGGGCTGACCTGTGTACCTGCAGCTGCTTCGCTTCCGCTCCTGCTTCACCGAGCGTATTCCGTGGCCACTGCGGTTTCTCTCCGGCCTGCAGCGGCCAATCTTAGGCAGTGCCCACGCTCCAGTTTCTGGACGAGGCTCTTCATCAGTAGCTGCTCTGGTTTCACTCTTCTGTTGACTTCTGGAAACTTCCTTCTCTCCAGCCCCACCTCCAGTGCCTCCCAGCAGTAGCTGAAGAGAGGCAGGAATTTCCTGCTCAGCCAAAATATGCTGAGGGCTCCTCCCCACCTCCTGGAATGACCCGGCCCAGCACTTTCTCAGGGGTCTATTGGGACTTCCAGACTAGAAGAGGCAAGGTCACCTCTGTAGACCCACGTAGTCCACCTGGACCAGCCCTGGGGGTTGGAGCAGAGGATGAGGGGTCTGAGATTTTCTGGAGAAAAAAGGAAAAGAGGCAGAAAGAAAAAAAAAAAAACGAGTGGTTGGAATTGACAGTTAGGGGAGAGATTCCCAGACCCTCCTGGGCAGAAGCCGGTGGCATGTCCTACAGAGAATGGAAGAAAGAAGCGAATGGACCGGTGGTGAAGGCAGTAGCAGGGCTGCAGTGGTTCCGCCCAACTCCATCCTCCAACCAGCCGGGCTGACATGTACTCAACATACATGTCCAGGAATGCAGGAGCTGCTTGTGTTCCCCGAGATAATGAGATCTCGGCTCCCCAGGGCCTCTGAAAACACATGAAGGGGATGGGAGCTACCCCAGTTCAGGGCATACACGCACCCTCCCGCGTGGGTGCTGGGGTGGAGTGGAAGGGTGGCCTTCGGACGTAGGCTGAGCTAACCCCACTGAGCTGTCAGCTGGCTTGGGGAGAGCCCGAGAGTCTTGGCCCTCAGCCCCTGGCCTTGGCATCCGCATCTCCACTCTTCGAGTTGAACTGTTTCCTTCTTAGCCAGAAAGTTCGTTCTCCCGAAGGAAGAGGGGGTGGCACCGTGGCCTGTGATCGGGACTGGAACTCGTGGGAGTCCCCAGTTCCTCTGCCGCTCAGCCCAGCTGCACGGTGGGCCTGGCTGAGCACGGCTGGCGGAAGGAGCTGCCCCCATGCAGTCCAAGCGGGATGTCCATGGGGCACTCCCGCCCTCCCCGCCTCACACCGGCCTTTGTAAATAAATGGTGTGGTCTTTGTTGTGAGGGTATCTATCTGGGTGATGGTTTTCTGGGGAGGGGAAACTGGCAGGAGAGAGCCACCTGGGCTTAGAGGGCAGAGTGGCCAGGTGTGGGGCATTGAAAGTCAAGATCAGCTGCCCAAGTATAAAGCATGATGTACCTGCATCCTTCACTGCCCATGTCTGTTGCCAAAGGGAAGGTACTGCCATTCCTGGGGCAAGGGCATCTGTGGGCTAGGAATGGGGAGGAATGTGTTCTAACAGGCCAGTTGATACCCGTCCCCGTGACCCCACAGGTCAGGACTGGGAGAGGGATGGGTGAGAATTGTTGGGAAGTGGGCTAGCTTATTACTTCATCCTCACAAGACTGCCCTCCATCGCTCTGGGACTGGACTTGATGCAGGGACCTGAGAGATAGTAAAGCAGGCCCGGGCACTTTGTCTTGCATGCAGCTGACCTGGGTTAAATCCTTGGCCCCAGGTGAGGCCTGTGTCCCAGCAGACTGATCTCTGATCACAGCCAGATGTGCAACCTCCACCCCCCCAACCAAAAAAAAAAAAAACCAATTCCTACAGTGGGGAGGGGTCCTGCCTCCCACAAGGCTGACCTGGTTAGGTCCCAGATACCTGCATATATCCTCCCCCACCCCGCATGTTCAGGAGTGATCCCTGAGGACTATTGGGTGTGGCCAAAAAATAACAAAAGCCTGCCTCTGGGGCAGGAGCAATAGTAAAGGGGCGTTTACCTTGCTTGCAGACCGCCCAGGTTCCATTCCCGGCATCCTATATGGTCCTCAAGCACCGCCAGGAGTCATTCCTGAGTGCAGAGCCAGGAGTAACCCCTGAGCATCGCTGGGTGTGACCCAAAAAGCAAAAACCTGCCACCGATTGTGTGATCTTGAGCAAATACTCTCAGGGATGCAGAGATGGAAGTTCAGGCATCTACCTGGCATGCCGCTACCTACCCCCTGAATCCCACACTGCATAGGCCCTCGGTTCCCTCCCATCAAATTCCCCAGCACGATTTGAGGGACCCCTGAGCATGCAGAGGTAGCCAGAAAAAGTCTTCATACCTCAGAGTGCCTTTGCTTGGGGGACACACCCAGCAGTGTTTGAGAGCAACTCCCTGATACACCTTGGCATGGGGGAGGGTGCTGCTGTGTGGTGCATGACTATTGCAAAGCATGTACCCCAGGCCTTAGTGTGCGCCTCAGATTCCAGTCACCTGCCTACCCCTTCTCTGAGGTCTTATCTTTTAACTGTGAGGTAGTGGGTTAGAGATCTGAGATCTACATGAGTGGGAAGTTCCATCCTGACAACAGATTAATGCTTTGTACCAATATCCACTAGAAAAATATTTTTGTGTGTGGCCACGGGCTGCAGGGTGGGTCTGTGGTGTGTAGGACCAAATCTCTTGCCCTCAAAGAACTTAGAGACATGGGGCTGGAGTGATAGCACAGCGGGTAAGGCGTTTGCCTTGCATGTGGCCAACCCGGGTTTGATTCCCAGCATCCCATATGGTCCCCAAGCACTGCCAGGAGTAATTCCTGAGTGAAGAGCCAGGAGTAACCCCTGTGCATTGCCAGGTGTGACCCAAAAAGCAAAAAAAAAAAAAAAAAAAGAACTTAGAAACTCAAGTGCACAGAACTCAGGTTGGTACTTGGAACTGAGCCCATGTTTTCTAGGGGACAGAGGGATGGGCCAAACCTATATGTTTTAGAGGGTGGGGGCTTGGGTCACATGCTCAGGGAACCATGTGGGGTGCTAGGGATCACACTACAGCTAGCTGCCTGACAGACATGCTTCCTACCTGCTAAAATACTATCTCTCCAGTGGGTTACACTCTTCCCTCAGCCCTGTGCACACATATCCTCCATATCACTTCCCTCCCTTCCCTTTCCCCCCACCCCTGCAGAGCAGGGCAGTTGTTGCTGAAGATAGTAGAGGAGCAAGGGAGGTAGGCCCAGAGGGCACTGACTAGTACCTCAAGGACTGCTGATTTCCCCACACTCGAAGGAAGGACTGTACTCCATTAGAAAATTTAAAAGCTGGGTAAAGTATAAAAAGACTAAAAACTGGTCAGACAACATGGTGGGGGTCGGGGAAAGTACAGTCAGGAGTAAGCCCTGAACACTGCCAAGAGTGGCTCCCAAACTAAATTTAAAAATATGGAAACAGAGGACTCAATTATGGATTACATGTCTTGCTTGCATAAGACCTGGGTTTGCAACCCAGTGTTGCAGTGTGTGTGTGTGTGTGTGTGTGTGCGCGCGCATAAGAGAGAGAGAGAAAGAGAGGGGAGAGAGCAGAGAATTAAAACAGATGATGAAAGAACATGAGAAGCAGCAGGGAAGGGCCAGAGCCAGAGTGTAGTGAGTAAGGTGCTTGTATCACGTGTGGCCAGCTTGGGTTCAATCCCCAGTACGCCATATGGTCCCCTGAGGCTCGCCAGAGCCAGGAGTAATCCCTGAGTATTGCCAAAGGAAAAAGAAAAAAGAAGCAGACAGTAACAGTGACAGTAGAAGGCTTAAGGGGTTTGTGTTGCATGCAGCTGACCCAGATTCAAATCCCCAGCACTACATAGGGTCCCTTGAACACCACTGGTGAATGATGCCTGAGCACAGATTCAGGACAAAGCCCTGCCAACGTGGCCACCCCCACCACCAACCCTCCCAAAATACCAAACTAAAACCACTCAGCTCCCAAGGCCATGAAAATACTACAGAGGCTGTGGGCTGACAGCAATCTTGCCATGCACCTTAACCTCCATATTATCTCTCAGGCCCTGTCCATCTTTCTGTTTCAAAGGGAGCAATCTGGGAGATTACCTGGCAGCTGAAATTCCTGCCTTGCAAGCATGAGGCTGTGAGTTCAATCTCTGACTCCTCCTACAAGCATTTACCTGGTATGCAGCTGCCAGATTTGGGTATGAACCCTGGCAATACATATGGTATTCCCAATACCTCCAGGGGTTACTCGTGAGCACAGAAGCAGAAATAGTCCCAAAGTATTCCAGGTGTGGCCCAGCCCCACCCACTTCCAAAAAAAAACCCCAAAAACATGAATTTTTTTTCTTCTCAGACAAAACATAAATTGTAGCCAAAGCAAATATAGCAGGAATGGAAAACCAAGGATCTATTTTGATAGATCTGATATGGCTTGGAAATAAAGCTAAGCGCAGGCCAGAGATGCAGCTCAATGATTAGGGCAAGCACTTGCCTTGTATTATTATCCTGGGTTTTTCCCCAGCACCGCAGTTTCCCAAGCACGGAGATAGGGGTGGCCCCCTAAAATGAGTAAAGTACTAAAACTTGGGTTGGAGGGATAGTACAGTGGGAGCGGGTTGGCTCTTGACTTGCATGCCACCTCTGAAAATAAAGCTCCGGGCCTAGAGATTTACTGAATGTAGAGGGAGATTAAATTTCTTGTTAGGAATCTGAAAACCGCTGGTAGCCCAAAAGGCTTTTCACTAATTTCTAGTTCGGTGGTACAACTTGACATTCTAGGTGATCCAAATCTCTAAATTTGTCGGAGATGCTGAGTGGTGGTCTTAATGGCAACCAGTCTGAAAAGCCACAGAAAAGGGCCAAGCGGTGCCAGAGCGCGCCCTAGAGCATCCCCGAGGGCCGGCGGGCCGACACTACAAAGGGAGTGGCGGGGCAGGCCGCAGAACTACAACTCCCAGAAGGCCGCGCGCGGAGCCGCGCGTTTCCGGCCACCCCTTACTTCCGGTCTTTGGGGCGCTGACGCTCTCTTCCGGTCGTGCTGGCCCCTTTCGAAAGGGTTTTGGGGTGCGCACGGTGAGTCTCGAGGCTGTCCGGTACGGCACGGGGGCGGGGTGGGTTTCGGGTCTGTGCAGACTCCAGCGGCTGGGGGCTGACCCGGAGAGAACCGAGACACGGGGTCGTGTCATGGGGTGGGGGCAGAGTGAAGCCCGCGAGAGAGATGGGGGCACGGACGAACGTACTCGGGGTGGGGGCAAGGATGGAAGTCGGGATCTAGGGGCGTGGGGAGCGGAGCTGGACCGAGGACAGAACAGCAGGCGGCGGCAGCCGGGGGCGTCCTGCGTGGGGCTGCTCCGGGCTGCTGCACGTTTGGGATGGGCTGAGGTCGGACCCCTGCTTGGAAAGTCCCGGCTCCAGCCGCGGGAGTTCTCAGGGGCCGCGGGACAAAGTGGTAGGAAAGCACTGCGGGGTCGCCTGGGGTTTGCGCCTTTCGGGGTCGGACGGAGCAGATTAGCTGAGACTTGCTAGTGGGACCGTGGAAAATATTAGGATGATGTTACACGTCTCTTGCCCTCCGCTCCCCAGCCTCTCCGGCTGTGCACAGGAATGGCTCGTGGCAGGGCCAGGGTACTGAATCTTGGTCGCCTCCTGCACAACAGGTGCCTGCCTCATTGTCTTGTCTAACCCAGGGCGCTCCCCGCTTTCTTTTTTTTTTTTTCTCTGCAGATGAGGCTGCTGGCCGTAGTAGTGGTGGCTCTGCTGGCTGTCACTCAAGCAGAGGATGGAGCCCGGCTCTTGGCGTCCAAGTCACTGCTGAATAGATATGCCGTGGAGGGCCGAGACCTAACCCTCCAATACAACATCTACAACGTGGGCTCCAGGTGAGGGACCAAACACCCCCCTCCCCCAGCCCCTGCTGGGCCTTTCCTGGATTCTCTCAACTCCTGCCAGGAACAGAGGCCATGAGTAATTAATCTTCTTTAGGAGGATATTTTATCTGGAGCAGAGAGTGTGGTGAGGGGCTCTACCACCAGACCCCCTTTAGCTACAGGAGCCCTCTTCCACTTTCTGAGATACATGAGGTTGATTTTTTCTTTTTTTTTTTGGCCTTTTGGTTCACACCCAGCAATGCTCAGGAGTTAGTCCTGGCTCTGCACTCAGGAATTACTCCTGGTGGTGCATGGGGGACCATATGGGAAGCCAGAGATTGAACCCAGGTTGATGGTGTGCAAGGCAAACACCCTCCCTGCTATACTGTCACTCCAAGATACATGAGTTTTGGGGTGGAGCAGAGAGAGGAGGATGAGGTGGAAGAGTGAGGTTCTCTATTACTTGGGAAAGGTTAAAGTTCATCTTTCTTTCATTAGCCAATAAGCCTGTTTTTATGAACCTGTATTTTGTTGTCTTTTTTGCGGGTGGAGGGTCACACCTGGAGATGTGTTACCCCACACAGAGACTGGCGAGATAAGGGGATTGAGTCCAGGTCAGCACCTGGTGGTGCTCAGGGCTTATTCTTGGCTCTGCTCTTAGGGATCACTCCAAGGAACCATATGGAGAGCCAGAGATTGAACCTGGGTCGGCCATGTGCAAGGCAAATGCCCTACCTACTTATTATCTTTGTAGCCCTAGTTTTTTAATTTGTAAATTCAAAATGTGCTGTTCTGGGCATGGAGCGGGGTCCTTACACATGCAATATTTGCTTTGCTGCTGAGTCAAGTTCAGAGCTGGATTCTACAGTGTATCAATCCCATGTTACTGTTGTCTTTTGTAGCTCTAGTTTTATTTTTTCAAACAAGCAGGCAAGTGTGATTGCTGATTGTTTTAATTTGATATAGGTTAAAAGATAGAATGATAAAAATAGTAATGTGGGGCTGGAGCGATAGCATAGCGGGTAGGGCATTTGCCTTGCACGCAGCTGACCTGGGTTCGATTCCCAACATCCCATATGGTCCCCTGAGCACCGCCAGGAGTAATTCCTGAGTGCTGAGCCAGGAGTAACCCCTGTGCATCGCTGGGTGTGACCCAAAAGCCGAAAAAAAAAATAGCAATGTATTAACAGTAACATAAAACATGAAAACAAGAGCTACGTACTTAGTACTGTAGGTACTACTTGCCTTGTAATCAGCTGACCTGGATTTGGTCCCCAGTGCCCTAAATGGCCCCCTGAGCCCCACTAGAAGTGATCCCTGAGCACAGCGCCTTGAGAGAGCTTTGAACACTCCCAGGTGTGCCACCTCTCCTATCCCTACCCCCAGAAAAGAAAAAAATAAATAAATAACACCTTCTTTGTTGCCTTTCTTCCAGTGCTGCGTTAGAGGTAGAATTATCTGACGACTCCTTCCCGCCAGAGGACTTCGGCATTGTCTCTGGAATGCTTAATGTCAAATGGGACCGCATCGCCCCGTATCCTCTTGACTCTGGGGGATGCTGTTGGGGATGGCGGGGTGGCCCACACAGCAGTGTCTCACCCGTTGGTGGGTTCTGGTCAGCTTCCAGCTACAGTGGGGCTGGAGAGGCCGGTGAAAGTGCTGTGAGCTCAGTTCAGTTGGGTGCTTGTGTGGAGATGTGTTACCCCACACACAGACTGGAGAGATAAGGGGATTGAGTCCAGGTCAGCCATCGGCAAGGCTGATGATGGGCCAGAGATGGTACCCTACCTGCTCTACCATCTCTGGCCCACTAGGTTTTATCTTTTTAATTCTTGCTGAGTATTGCTGGGGGTTCTGGGTGGGCTACATGTGTTGGCAACTCTTGCCTGGACTGGTACGTTCGGTCCAGCAGTGGAAAGATACAGCTCACCTTTTGCCCTCCTTGACTTGAGCCAGGGCTAGCAACGTCTCCCACACTGTGGTCCTGCGCCCCCTCAAGGCCGGCTACTTCAACTTCACCTCTGCGACTGTTACTTACCTGGCCCAGGAGGACGGCCCAGTGGTGGTGAGCCATCGAGGGGGGTGGGGGCGTGGGGAGGGGGGTTCCCATTAGCCGGCTGTGGACCACTCTGTGGCACATTTCCAGAGCAGCCCCTGAGTCTCCTATGGAATAGAGATGACCAGAGACCTTTGCTAGAATGTTCCTACCAGTCACCTGAAGACTGACCTCTTTGCGAGCTGGAGAGAATCCCAAGGTTAAGGCCCTTGTCTCACATATAACTGTGACCTGGTTGTGTTCTGGGTTCTGATCCCAGCTCCACACAGGTTCCCCTGAACCCTACCTGGAGTGACAGCCCTAAGCGCATAGCCAGGAATAAGCCCTGAGCACCACCAGGTGTGCCACGGACCCACGAACCAAACCCAAAATCAAACATCAAACTGAGCTCCACCGCTCACTGCAGACCCTCCCCCACACTAGCTGCCGTCTCTTCTGCTTCCCCTGTTCTCCCCTCACAGACCCCCACACCCCCATCCTCCCCATTTGTCGTCCCTGTCCCTTTGTTCAGAACCTTCCCTTGAGCTAGCATTTCCTTGACTCTGTCTTCCGTGCTCACATTCACATAGTTCTTCCCTACTCAGTCCTTTTGGTTCTTTTTTGGGGGAGAGGTGAGGCAACCTGGTGGTGCTGGAGAGGTTGCTCTGGGGACCATGTGACAGGGCTTGGACCCGGGCCGCCGTGCTGGCCCTGACTCATTCTTTTTTTTTTTTTTTCCTTTTTGGGTCACACCTGGCGATGCTCAGGGCTGACTCCTGGCTCCGCACTCAGGAATCATTCCTGGTGGTGCTCAGGGGACCATACGCGATGCTGGGAATCGAACCTGGGTCGGCCGTGTACAAGGCAAACGCCCTCCCCGCTGTGCTATTGCTCCAGCCCTGCCCTGACTCATTCTTTCCACGAACATGAGCTGCCTCAAACCTTCTCTTAGCTTGTATAGTTGTCGCCATGTGAACATCCCTCCTCACATATCCTTCCTCCCCAGCCCCCCATTTGTTATTATAGTTACTGGGACCTCAAACAGTGCTAGACTAAAATGGGTATTTCACGTGACCCCGCCTTTAAAACCCTTAGGTCATGAGTTTATGAAGGCCTCTTGCAGGAGCAGACAGATGTGGATTGTAGTCTTGTAGGCTCTGCTCCCAAGTAGGCCGTCGGGAGCAGTAACATTCCATTGTAAAGGCAGAACTAAAAGAATGAGATTCTTGGGCAAGGGAGATGGTTGAGAAGACTGGAACTTAGCTTTTTTTTCTTTTGTTTTGGGGATTTTTTGTTTGTTTGGTTTTGGGCCACACACAGAGGTACTCAGGGGTTACTCCTGGCTCTGCACTCAGGGATCATTCCTGGTGATGCTCAGGGGACCATATGGGGTGCTGGGGATTGAATACGGGTTCAGCTGCATGCAAAGTAAATGCCCTGCCTGCTGTACTGTGGCTCCAACCCCAGGAGCTCTGGGTTCAAATCCCACTTCATGGTTTGTTGTCTCCCACCCCCAGTACCACCGAGGGTGATCCACCCATCAAAAAGAAAATTTAGGATTCTCTAACCTTCAGTGCATGTTCTGTTTTTCTTCTTTCTTTCTTTCTTTCTTTCTTTTATCAATCATATGGAATAGTAGTCTTACAATCCCCGTTCTGTTTTTATATTTTGTGTCATTTCTGCTTCCGGCACCAACTCTTGGACTCCAACTCCCTGTGGGATCAGGTGGGTTAAGAGAAAACCAGGAACTTAGTTACCTCTTTAGAGCCGAGTCTTTTGCAATGTGCTCCACACTAAGTCCTCTCCAGAGACTCAGGCCCGCCCCCAGCATCACACACCTGCAGGGGCCTGGGCTTGTTGGAGTCCTGCCTGCCGTTGTTTTGTTTGTAGCTCCTGCCAGCCTGGGAGCTGCGGCCCGAGAGAGTTTCCACTTGAGAAGTACGGAAGCGTGGGCTGGAGCAATAGCACAGTGGATAGGGCGTTTGCCTTGCATGCAGCCAACCTGGGTTCAATTTCCAGCATCCCGTGTGGTTCCCTGAGCACCTCCAGGGGTAATTCCTGGGTTCAGAGCCAGGAGTAACCCCTGTGCATTGCAGGGTGTGACCCATAAAAGAAAAAGGGGGGGGAGAAAGAAGGAAGTGGCGAATGCCTGGGGCTCATCCTTCCTCTGCCGCCCGGGCTCCTAAGCCTCTCTAGCATAAGACTCCTTCCTGCTTAGAGACTCTCGAGCTCTGAGCGAGATGGGCTGGGCCCCGTGGGCTGCTCAGGCCTCACTGCTGTGTTCTTCCCTGCAGGTGGGCTTCACCAGTGCACCAGGACAGGGCGGCATCCTGGCCCAGCGGGAGTTTGATCGGCGATTCTCCCCACACTTTGTAAGCATTGGGAAGGGGGGGTCTCTCTCGCTCCGGGGGATAATAGCCTTTTGCTCTATCTGGAAGACGTGTTAGATCCTGGATCTGGCCGTCGCTGGGTTCTGATGTCTGCTACAGCCAGCCATGAGATCCTCTCAGGGAACAGGATTAGAGATTTGGGGCTGTGAGGTGACAGCTGCCAAACAAGAGAACGCCTTATTCCTCTGACCAGTCTTGAGTAGAGGCCTGCCTTAGGGGCCTGGGTCCTTTTTGAAAAATAAAGGCATGGGGCTGGAGAGTTGGTACTGTGGGTAGGGCTCTTGCCTTGCATGCACATGGCCAGGGTTCCATCCCCAGTATTCCTTAGGGTTTCTCCATGTGGTTCTGTGTGCACTACCAGGAGTGATCCCTGAGCACAGAGCCAGGAGTAAACCTTGAGCACAGCTGAGTGTGACCCAAAACCCTCAAAAAAATAAATGGGGGGGAGGCTTCTGGGGTTGGACTGAGTCACGGAGGCCGTTGGCGTCACCACTAGGAGCTCTATTGGTCCCCTGGGGAACCCTCCTGCGCAGGTTGTGATGGGGGTGGGGAGCCTTCCCGTCCCCTTCCTCCTGCTCCCTGTACCCTCCAGCCCACTCAGCCGAGCCTCTCTGTCTCTCCCAGCTGGACTGGGCAGCCTTCGGGGTCATGACGCTCCCGTCCATTGGAGTCCCGTTGCTGCTCTGGTACTCTAGCAAGCGGAAGTACGACACTCCCAAGACCAAGAAGAACTGAGTCAGCCACCGTGACACTCTCGGCCTAGGACACCCAGGTGCTTTCCGGACTCTGAAGGGCACTGTCATCACCGCCACCTCTGCTCCTCTCACCTCACACCTGCTCTTGGATCCCGGCCCAGGAGCCCATCAGCTCCTCCTGGGTCCCAGCCTGAAGCCATACGAACAGGAATGCCTTTGGCAGAGCCCAGGCCTCCAGGCCTTTGGAGGCGCCGTGGGGGTACTCCTGGCAGTGTGGACTCTTGGGGGTTGGGGGGGAGGTCAGGGGACACTGCACCTCGGCGACTGCCTGACACCACCTGCCCCTGCCCTTTCCTCCCTGACGGTGGAATAGAAGCTGCTGCCTGGTCTTGGTCCTAGGCTAGAAGCGCTTCCCAAACGGGGTTTTCTAATAAAAACCTGCCACATGGACACGGCTGCTACCCTGGGGCATGGGGGGCTTGGGTCCTGGAACCGTAAGCTGAGCCTGGGGTGGGAGTGGGACCTGGGGGGATCTCCCCCGTGGGTGTTTCTGCTCCCATCCCTAATTTCTCGCTCTGTCATCAGAGTCCTCTAAAGCCTCCTCCTCTCAGCTGTTCACTTGCTTCATGGCTGGGGAAGGTTAAGAGCTTAAGGTGATGTGTGGACGAGCTGTTCTAGATCCTGAGACATTCAAAACCAGTTTATTCGCTGCTCTGAAAAAGCATGTCTTGGGGCTGGAGTGGTAGCACAGCGGGTAGGGTGTTTGCTTACCTTGCATGTGGGAGACTCGGGTTCGATTCCTAGCATCTCTTATGGTACCCTGAGCACTGCCAGGGGTAATTCCTGAGTGCAGAGCAGGAGTAACCCCTGTGCATCTCCGGGTGTGACCCAAAAAAGAAAAAATGCATGTTTCTTTTCTTTTTTTGTACTTTTGTCCTGTTTGGGGCCATACACCTGGCTCTGTGCTCAGGGTCACTCCTGGTTGTGCTTGGTGGACCATACTTGGTGGTCAAACCCGGAATTGACTATAAGGCAAGCACTTTACCCCCTATACTGTTTCTCCTAGAAGGCTCTTTTTCTAATTTTGTTTGTGTTTGGGCCACACCCTACCCTGCTTAGTTCAGTGCTCAGGGCTTGCTCCCATGATGCTCAGGGGACCATGTGGTGCTGAGGATTGAATCAGGGCCCCCTCCTGCATGCAAGGCAAGCGCTTGGCCCTTTGAGCTCTCTCCAGCCCTGGAAAACACCCCTGGCTCTGGTACTGACTTGTAAGAGCACAAATTTTTTGAGTATTTTTTTCCCCTCTAATGTTGGGGATTGAACCCGGGGTACCTAACATATGCTATACCCCTGAGCCATACCCCTCACCTCTTGAACTTTGGTGGTGTCCCTGCAGGGGCTCAGGTTCACCCACGGCAGGACTTAGGGAACCCTATGTGATGTAAGGAATCGAAGTGGAGTCAGTTGCACCCTACCCAACTTTTTGTGGGGATCACACCGGGTGGTGCTGAGGGATCACTCCTGGCGGAGCTCGGAGGACCACATAGGGTGTTAGGGAACAAGCAGATCGACAGTGTGCAAGGCAAGCACCTATCCTCTGGACTACTGCTTCAGTCCCTAAACTTTCTTTTTGGGGGGGAGGGGTCGGTCACACCCGGTGATGCTCAGGGGTTACTCCTGGCTTTGTACTCAGGAATCACTCCTGGCAGTGCTCGGGGGATGCTGGGAATCGAACCCAGGTCAGCTGTGTGCAAGGCAAACACCCTACCTGCGGTGCTATTGCTCCAGCCCTCCTGAACTCATTTTTAATGTCTGCTTTGAGCTCAGGCCACCAGACCAAGGCTTCCAGACCCCTGAGCTTGCTCGAGCTTGGCAGGCTGAGCAAAGCAGGCAGTTTCTGCTGCTACAGCAGTGGGGAGAAGCCTCCGAGCTGACTTGCTCCAGTCCAGGAATGCTGTGGTCGACAACAGCCTCCCAGGCAAGAGAGAAACCCAACAAATGCCTGCTTTGTTCCTGCCCCTGAGCTCCAGAGCGCGGCTCCTGTGGTGGGGCGGCTGCCTGGCTGCTTGACCCTTTCCTTCCCTGGTGCTCAAGCTCCCAGCCCCGGCCAGCATGAAAAGGACATGGAGACAGCGGGAGGCCTCGGGTGGAGTAGCCCTCCGCCAGCTTTCCTCCCTCCTCCAGGGGCTGCGTCTTGGACCCCCGGCGACTGGCCAGGTCAGAGGGCGAACGACGCAGGAACTGCTCGGGAGAAGGGGCAGAGACACGATGGGTGAGGCGCTCGGAGTGAAGACCAGCAGAGGGAAGGCAGGGGGCCAGCCTGGTCCCTGCTATCCATGTGGGACTCCAGGGCCTTGACCTGCCAGAGGAGAATCCCTGCCTCAGACAGGACAGACTTCCCAGGCAGAGGTACAGCAGCGGGGAAGGTGGTTGCCTTGCTCACAGCCGACCTGGGTTTGAGCCCCAACACCCTGTAGGGTCCCTCGTGCCCCTCCACAGGAGTAATCTGTGAGCACAGAGCTAAGGAGTCAGTCCTGAGCACAGCCGGGGGTGGCCCCCCAAAACAGAACAGATTTCCTCCCTGGAATGTCAGCTCCAGAGTGACATTCAGGGTCTTGCTCTCTGAATTCTGGGCAGCTCTCCCAAGCCTGGGAGCTGGGGTCATCTCTTCTCCCCTCCTCAGCTCTCAGTTCCTGGCCCTTGTTCTGGAAAACGAGCCTGGGAAAGGAGCCTGACCCAGACGGCAAGACCAGTGCTATGAAGGGGCCCGGCTTGCAGATGCCTCGGGAGGGGCCCAGGGCTGCGCCTCCTTGAGAGATCCACTTGGGCTGGAATTCGAGGCTCTTCGAGTAGTGGCCCCGGGAATGTAAGAGCCCCTTAGACTCTGTGGACAGAGACTTACCTCGAATAGTTGGCGGGACAAGTGAGCCTCTCACCGTACCAGGGGATTCTGTGGGAAAGGAGGGGCAGGGAGAGAGCCCAGAGGAGGTGTGACCCTTGTGTGGAGCCCAGACCTTTCCAGGTCGGCCTGGGTTATGGCCACCAGCAAGTTCCAGCTCCCCGCAGCCCCTCCCGCTCATCACACCCAGCCTGTGCCAGCAGGAGTCTGGTGCCCTGGGCCCCGCCTTTACTCTCTAATCTTGGGGCTCCCTGGACAGAAAGCCAACCAGAAGTGGGGCTCAGAGTGTCCGAGACTGTGACCTCGGCAGAGGACAGGCATGCTCTGGGCTCCAGGCCCCAGGACAGCGGCCAGGGCAGGGAGCTGGGCCACCCCACAGCCATGGCACTTAACACCTCACTTCCTGGCTCATCTGCTGAACAGCCCAGACGTCTCAGGCCAGAGACAGAGGACAAAGGGACAAGCACTTTCTGCACATGACCAACCCAGGTTTAATCCCCAGCATCATATAGGGTCCCCTGAGCCCCACCAGGTGTGGCCCAACACCTCGTGTCCCCCGAAAAAAGAAAAGAAAACACTTTTTCAGGCCAGGAGAGTGGTCATAGCTAGAGCACAGGCCTAGTGTGTATGAAATTCTGGGTTCAATTCCCAACACACACACACACACACACACACACACACACACACACACACACACACCCCACTCCCTTGCTGTCTGCTACAGCCCTGGTAGACCCAGCACCCTGCCTGCACAGCCAGACAAGCACCTGGGGAGGGCCCTCTATGTTTTTATTTGTTTGTGACTTATTTGAAGAAATACTACAATATCTTAAAAAATTGTGTAAAAGGGCCAGAGAGACAGGACAATAGGAATGTCATGTCCTTGCACGCAGCCAACCTTGGCTCAATCCCCAGCATGTCAGAGGACCTCCAAACTCCACCAGGAATGACCCCTGAGCACAGAAATGGGAGCCCGCCCTGGGCACAGTCAGGCATAGCCAAAAAACAAAACCAAGACATAAAATCTAAATTTGTGTGGCCCTCTATTAAAACATATTTTACATAACTAGGGAGTGAGAACAGCAGGTAGGCACATAGCCAACCTGGGTTTCATTCTTGGCACCGAATATCATCCCTCAAGCACCACCAGGAGAGACCACTGAGCACAGATCCAGAATAAGCCCTGAGCACTGCCGGATGGGGCCCCCAAACCCCAAAAAATACAAGTCAGGAAATTGCTTATGCAGCATCAGGGGAGGGTCCCGCAGCACTGAGGTGTGTGCTTCTTGGTTCTGGTGACGTGGCAACCAGAGTCTGCTGCTGGCTGAAGAGGGGACCCCCTCTCGTGCCCACCTGTGAAGGCAGCTGCCCTCCTCAACCAGGTCTTAAAGCCACTTGGGCTCTCACACAGAGTGACTCCTCCCAGGCCGGACTCAGGGCAGTGTCTCAGGGCCCTGCGGGCAGGAGCTGACACCAGCTCTGGCCTTCCTCAAGCAACACACCCTGGGTTCCCCATGACCTCAGCATGGTGGGAGAGGAGTGAGTCAGGTCCCACCTCCCATGGCTCTTATCAGGGAGGCGCCTGGGACTCACCACAAGACTGTTCTGGGCAGTCCCTCCCCAAACTCTCCTCACCAAAACACTCTCCCTCCTCCCGCCCCACCTCCCCCTCTGCTGCTACCAGCCCTTAAAGGGACCCCAAGTGCAGAGGAGCCAGTTTGGAGCCACGTCTGAGTCTGAGGGAGGACCCAGAATCTCCCACCTGAGAGGAGATTTTATGGCTGCCCTCTAGTTCATTCCTTCCAGCAGGAAGCCCAGCGTGGACCCCACATCATTTTTAACCTGAGCCCCAGTCTAGAAATGCAGAGGACAGGAAGATTGCTGGGCACTAGGCACAGGAATCAAAGGGTTAATGGCCCAGGCCCGAAGTAGGGTGGGCAAGGGCAGCACTGTGGTGTCCAGTGTTCTCAAGGAGGAGGCAGGACTGGAATGAGTGCCCCTTCTCCTGTACAAACATCTGGACCATGAAGTTCCCTTGAAAGGCCCAAGAGAGAGGCACCACCCCTCCCCAGGATGCTCACAGGGGCTTCCTGAGCAGGGCTTTCTCCTGCATTCTGGTCATAGAGCAGATCCCCAACTTTGGGCTCTCTCCCAGGTCTAGTGAGTCTCCCCTTCTGCCTCCCTGGGCCCTTGGCCTTGAATGGGGAGTCCTCTTGGCTTCTCCAGGAAGTGTTTGAAGGAATCCAACTTCCTATACTGACTAACAATCCCTGGAATGCCTTTTTATGGGGGCTGGAGGGTGGGGAGCACATGGGTGGGAACTCAGGGCTTCATCCCAGTTCTGCACTTAGGGGTCACTTCTAGTAGAGCTCAGGGGACCATATGGGATGCCAGGAATCGAACCTGGGTCAGGTTCACATTCAAGACCTACGCTCTGTACTATTGCTCTAGTCCCTTAATCTCCAGAACTCTTGCATTTAGCTCCTGCTTTTTCTATTTTCTTTTTTGTTGTTGTTTTGTTTGGGGGCCACATCTGGAGATACTTAGGGGT